GATCTTCCCGAAACGGGGCACGAACCCGCGTCTCCTGCATCGGCAGGCGGACTCTCAAGCACTGCGCCACCAGGGAAGCCCTAGAGTATGCTTTTTGATAGTCTCATTTGAGAAGTTTGTTGAACAGTTAAATAAGGACTAGTAAAGAACACAAAATACTAAATTATTGGGCTTCCCTGGTAGCGCAGTGGTTGAGAGTCTGCCTGCTGATGCAGGGGACACGCGTTTGTGCCCCGGTCTGGGAAGATCCCACATGCCGCGGAGCGGCTGGGCTCGTGAACCATGGCTGCTGAGTCTGCGCGTCCGGAGCCTGTGCTCCGCAATGGGAGAGACCACAACAGTGAGGGGCCTGTGTACCAAAAAAAAAAAAAAAAAAAAAAAACTAAATTATTTCTATGAGGAAAAGTTAAAAGAAATTGAAGCATTTACCTTGAAAAAGAGATGGCTATAGGGAAAAATTACTGCCCTCTAAGGCTGTTAATAATTACAATAAATTGTTCTCCTGCTCTAAACAGGACTACTGCAAATGAGGGATATATAGAAATAATGGCAAGATAATTTAATTTGCTATAAGTAAGCTATGTTGATAATAAGAACATTTTTAAATACTAGAATATTCAAGTGGGAGAGGTTATAAGACTTTTGCCCCTAGATAGCTTTTGCAGAAAAAAACAAAACGCATTCCCTGCCCTGGTTCACCTATGCTATTTCACTGGTTTATCTTCTCAAATATCCACCAAGGGATACTGGAAATGTGGGGCTTTCACTCTTGTAAAGCTACCTCCTGAAGTTTATGTGCCTTCTTCATACTTTCAGTGTTTCCCTCCTGGTTCCACCTATCCAGCTCTGAATTAATACTAGCCCACTAGTCACCTAGTCCACAGAGGTAAGGAATAAAAACTTTTGTCAGAAGAAGAAACTATTTGGCAAAGGTACTTTGCAGTTCACACATAGTACTAGTACAGTACCACTGTTCCCAGTCACATAGGAACAAATACTTCTAGGCTGTTCATAAATATATATTGAGGTTTCTCTCTGTATAACTGGCTTGCTTGCAAGTTTTCCCAAGCTCTGAAGTGCTAGATCCCATGTCTTGACACCTCTAGACTTTCTCTTACAATTTCTTCCATAAGCGTCCATCTGCCCTGACAGGCTCCTCGACTTCTGTTGGCCCTTTTCCCTACAAGGTCCTCAGTTGGCCCCATTTTTATGAACTGCTCCATGTAACCTATGACATTCAGACTGGTCAGATACTACTGAGGCTCCATCCTTATCTCCTCAGTACATCCAATTCCATCTCACAGTCTTACTAACAGTTAATTCCAGAGGCCTTCAAATTGAACTCTGCTCATACTTACAAATTGCACTCACCAGTCTTACTGATTCTTCTTTCCTTTACTCTGCCTCAGGGTGGATTTTTTGGCCACAAGAGCTTGATTGGCCCTGCAGGAGGCTCCGGTAACACCTCTGAAGAGAGGTGGCCTTTAACCAAGGGTGAACAGGTGGATAAACTGGATTTTGTTTCCCTAAGGTAAGATAATTCTGAGGTGTGCTCTAGAGTACCCTCCTAGAGTTGCCCAGGCTCAAGCCCCAGTTGTCTGCAGTGACTCATAATCACCACTTGTTGGTTCTCTGTCTCACTTTTTCCTAAACAGACTAATGTTAACACAAATATTTGACTCTGCCTCCAGGTGAACCAATCCTAAAATAATCTATCTCCATATATTTACATGTGCATTTTCCAAAGAACTTCTATTGTTTTTTTGCGGTACTCGGGCCTCTCACTGTTGTGGCCTCTCCCATTGCACAGGCTCCGGACGGGCAGGCTCAGCCGCTGGCTCACGGGCCCAGCCGCTCCGTGGCATGTGGGATCTTCCCGGACCGGGGCACAAACCCGTGTCCGCTGCATCGGCAGGCAGACTCTCAACCACTGCGCCACCAGGGAAGCCCTGTTTTTTTCTTTTTAATAGCATTAAAAAAATATCCCACATTAACATTTTGAGTAAAAACAAATAATCTTGGTCTGTGTATATGCGGTGTGGCCACAACAAATGACTCACTTTCACACTCTAGAAGATGGTATATATTCTCCCAAATAGACAACTCTCAAACATTTCTTGTTTCTGGCAGTTACAAGTGAGATTTCTTACAGAACACTCTGATTCTATGATCTAGTATGAGAGGGTTCAGCCATAGAAATACCTTGTTTTAAACACATTTTTCTATAAACTTCAGTAGTGATGAGAAAGATCCTCTCCTTTCTGCTCAAGAAAAGAAAGTAAATTACTTTATGTATTGTTCTTTGGCTTTTGATATGCTATGTGACACTTCAGCAAATCCTGCACACAATGAATTCTATCATTTCTGCACATGTGGCAGTTAAATGTGCTCATTTGCATAAGTTACAACCATATACATAAGTAAAAGTGTTGTTTTTGACAGTAGATCTGATTTTGGGGATACATATGAATTTCTAAAGTTCTAATGGATTTCAGTATTGACGATACGGCATAGAAATAAAACATTTCTTGCAATCATTCCAGGCATACCAGATGGTGAAAAGTGTTACAATAATTCAGTAGAAGGTAAAGCAAACTTACCCGAATCATCATGACTGAACATCTGATATCATGAATTGTATCATAGATCTTTTTTGAGATGTCCACAAACTGATCATCATCAAACACATCCAAAGAGTTTTTACTTAAGGCTTCCAAGGCAACATTCACTTGTGTTACAAATTCTGGAATTACTGTTAAAATGAATAAGAAAGAGAAAATTGTCCTACTTGTATTTTCAGATTTCTGGAGTTTCCAGGAAATGGAGAATCATATTTTTAAACAAATACTTGATTAATAAAATTTCAATTATTTTTTAAATGTAGGGAGACAAAACGTTTTGGCAGGATAATCTTGAATCTCTGAAATACAAAGGTAACCAAAGACAAGAAAGGCGTCGTTATGGAAATGTTTTAAAAGATTATCTTTCTCCTTTATAGCATTTTTGTTTTTACCAAGTCTGGAACCATATAATTAATTTTCATCCGATCCAGTGTAAGCTCAAAGAAATGACAAAAAAAGAATTGGTGTGAATAATAGTTGAAATTGTAAACATAAAAATATTTAAAGAAAAAAAACATTTGAGTTGCTAAATAGAAGAAAATTAACTAAAGACGCTAATTCTATCTCATAGAAATAATAAAACTACTGTAAACTTTCTTTTGATAAAATATTTCCTCCTCATCAAAAAGATTAATGCAAAGAAACTGGTGATCTTATATGCAAAACGTTTCTATGTAAAATAACACAACATTGAATGAGTTTAGGGATATATCAATCAGTAAGGCCAATCCATAGAATGCCCTTTTTTTAATTAAGATTTCAAAATAGTCTCAATTAAAAACGTTTCTCTGACTTTACTTTTAAGGTTAATGATAACAACATTCATTAACTCTTCAGTAGATTCAAGGCAGTTTTCTAAGCGTTTGCTGTGATTGAAATCTTAAAATAACCCCAGTATTAACCTGGGGTTCATACTTAGTTGAATGACAAAGACACAGAGAAATCAAGAATCTTTCACAGAGTCATTCTGCTAATATGACTTTTAACTACTATACCATATCATATTGAATAAGTTTCTTCCCCATGTGAATATGCAGGAGAAAAGCAATTAATTTTTAGAGCAATGATTCCAAACCTGGAAGATATAGTACTTTATCTAACACAAAAATATTAATAAATATTATTTTTTCCTACATCCAAATCTCTATCTGCATGTATGGCATACCATGTCTTGCAATCCTACCTGCCATGTTCTTGATATGGGGAAATGTTGGCAATATACCTAGGTACCCATATTTTATCTAGTCTCATCTTTCCTCCACCTACTAAAATGTATCACCTATACCCTAATTCTTAGATATTATACCCACCAGGATTATCCACTGTGCTTTTCTCCTCTGTCCATTCTCTAGGTGTACCATCCAATAAAAAGGGGCACCTGGCCACATAGGGCCACGTATAACTATGAAACATTAAATTCATTAAAATTTAATTTAATTTGAAATTGAGTTCCTCAATCACATTTACCACATTTCAAGTGCTCAGTATACACCTATGGCTATTGAATTCTGTTTTGAGAGTGGCAAAATGGAATGTTTCTATCATACCAAAACTTCTATTGGATAATATTATTCAGTAGTGAGATTTCATAAAATCATTGTCTCACTTTCAGTGAACAGAATAACAAAGGCAAGGAGAAAGCTAACTCACACCACTTTGCGCAGGAGAAACACTCCTGAACCACAATTCCCACTAATTTAGATGTGACTCCCAAAGTGTATCTCTAATCTAACCTTTTCCCTGAATTCCAGAGCTATGAATCCAAAACGGTCCACTGCAAAATTCTACCTAAATCTTTCATAACACCTCAAATCCATCCTATCTAAACCTCAATACATTCTTTTCTACCTGGAAAGCCTAATTTTCTTTTAATATTTTCTATCTTGATGCCCAGTCAACAAGGAAAAAAACTCAGGTGTTTTCTTTTACCTCCTACTCGTTTTTAACCTCTATATCCAAATGTCCTCTAAGTGTAATCTCCTCTACCATATAAGTACATTTTAAATCCATTGCCAGTGCAGCCCCACTGCCTCTAGCCATCATTATCTCCTGCTTGAGCCCTCACCAAAGTACTCCTGCCGAAGACCTTCTCATCCTCCAGACTCATCGTAAGTATAATCTTATTGACAAAGCCAGCTCTTAGCAGTAAGTACAACAGTGTCCGTCACAAAATAGATTCACAATAAGTTGTTTTATTAGTGAGTCACATCACTACACTGTTCAAAAACGTTCACTGGTTCCTTAAAACTTTTTCCTGTTTGTATCCCAAGTGTCTAGCCCGGCACATAGTAGATAAGTAATTGAATTAAGTAATCAAATGAGTTAATGAATGAATAAATATAAAAAACCCACAAAAATGTAGGTACAAATTCAACATGTTAAGCTTGCATTTCAATGTAATTTAGGTTTTGTTCATACTAGGGAATCTCCAAAAATATACTTATGTGGGCTTATAAGAATATTCAACATATTTAATGAGTTAATCTTTACTTTTCATAGTGTTGAGAGAGGAGGAAACTCTTACGGAAATGTGTCCAGTTATTTCACATTTTCTTCAGGCTCTTGGGGTGAACAGCAAACCCCCCAACAAAACTTATACTCCAAAGAACATGGCAGAGAGGCTCCTCATCACTTTGACATCCTCTATTAACACTAAAGACATAGATAAAAACAAAGAGATGTGGTCTCAAAACTTCTGGTGGGGCTTCCCTGGTGGCGCAGTGGTTGAGAGTCCGCCTGCCGATGCAGGGGATGCAGGTTCATGCCCTGGTCTGGGAAGATCCCACATGCTGCGGAGCGGCTGGGCCCGTGAGCCATGGCCGCTGAGCCTGAGCTTCCGGAGCCTGTGCTCTGCAGCGGGAGAGGCCACAACAGTGAGAGGCCCGCATACCGGAAAAAAAAAACAAAAAAAACAAAAAGAACACCTTCTGGTGGTCTACCACTGACAAAACTCTTTTCATAGTCTTCCCCACTAAAAAAAGGTTTTTCTCATCCACCAAACAAGTGTGTCATACAATAATAATTTAACTCTTTCTATCTACATATTCAGTTTGTTACTAACTGCCTCTATAATTTGAAACTGCTCCTATCATCTTCCTATGTAGATCTTGGCCAAAAAAAGAGAGACAAGCATCAAATCATGTAAAGGTCTAGTTTTCACTTCCATGTGAGATAATGTGAGAAAGATTTGGCGTATTTTAAGGAAAATACATCATAGCCTTTTCATTATTGCAACGTGATTTCAATTTAACTCCTTTAGGGGCCTCTTACTAATAAACTAATATTAGTTCCAATTAAAATAAAATCTTTGAGAAGCCAATGTTTAATTTCTGAAGTACAGATGGAAACTACTACTTTTTTCACTCTAACAGCATAAATGAACTATTCAAAGCCAACATGTAATACATTCCTCATTTCATTAGCTTAAACATCAGCTGTGGGTGTGTTTTATTCATACTATGGACATATGGTTGCTTGGATCAGAGTGGGCGTGAAATTTTTTAATGCTTTCAAGAAAATACAAAGTGAGTATAATTAAGTAGCCAGTTAGTGGTAATTTAGAAGGAAAAACAAATTGACAAAGCTATCTCAAATCCATAATCTACCTACATTTCAAGAAAACAAGGTTTACACACAGTATACCATCCATCATGTTATACAATCATTGATCAGAGAGGGGGACACCTTAAACAAATTCACTCTAACCATTTGACATCCCAGGTAGAATCAACTGTTCTGAACTTTGGAGTGTAGATTTATTAAACAGAAGTGGCCTTGGGTTCAATACCTTGTCAACTTCAAAGTATCTTGTCTATTTTATACTGCCAAATTCTAAGCCAGTTCTGAACTTGTTAGCAGTCTGTACTTTCCATACCAACCTTATTCAGAATATGCAGAATAATAATATCCATTGAGTGCTTACTCATCTTGGCACTGTGCTAAGCATTTTGTATGCACTGTCTCATTTAATCCCCACAGCAGCCCTGTGAGGCAGGAACTATCATTATCCTGATTTCAATGACGAGGAAACTGAGGTCAAACAGCTAATAAGTGGCAGGCTGGTAACTGAGACTCCAGAGCTTGCTCTCCGAGCCCCAAAGCTGCACTGCCTCTTTTTTTTTTTGCGGTACGCGGCCCTCTCACCACTATGGCCTCTCCCGTTGCGGAGCACAGGCTCCGGACGCGCAGGCTCAGCGGCCATGGCTCACGGGCCCAGCCGCTCCACGGCATGTAGGATCGTCCCAGCCCGGGGCCCGAACCTGCGTCCCCTGCATCGGCAGGCGGACTCTCAACCACTGCGCCACCAGGGAAGCCCCACTGCCTTCTTTTGATAAGTAAAATACTTTGGGCTTCTTAATTTCAGTGCTCCTGGGGCACTGAAATTAATGTTAATGTTAATTAACATTAATGTTAATGTCAATTAATTTCTAAATTAATGTTAATTTTCTGGTAATAGAGCCAACTTCTCCCAGGCCTTGAGTCTCGCTCTGGTACTAACTCAGGAATATGTTATCCCTTCTCATTTCTTGCTAGGTTTATTAAATGCTTTTGAAAGTAGGTAAAGGTACATAATTATTGGATTAAGTAGGTCAAAAAAAAATCCAGACTCATTATAGGTAATCATCTCCAATGATGTCACTAAATTATGTTTCTATCATTAATAAAATGCAGATTAAAATATTTCTAATCATACTATTATCTTTGAAAATTACCAATGATAGAGGTATTTGGCTTTGAAAATTCACATAATGCTAAGTCACCATTTCTTTACATGATGCTAAGTAAGTGGGAAGAAATTACAGCAGAAAGTGCAATTAAGCATATGCATGACTTCTATAAATGCCACATACTCTTCATTTTTTAGATTTATTGAACAAACATTGATTAGCAAGATTCATACCTTTTTTATTTAAGGAAGCCAAGAGTGTATCAGTGCTGTGTTTGGTCTCTCACAGATTACGTATCATAAAAGTCAATAACTGGTGAGAATTTTTCCTTTTTTCAAATGAGAGAATCAAGGATCAGAGTGAGTGCTTTATGACACATCACACAGTTAACAAGAGCCATACTGGCCTCACTATTCTACTTTACCCCGACCTTTCAAACATCTGGAATAGCTAAAAAAAAAAAA